CCTTACATTTAATTCTGGTTGTGTATTCTTTTTCTCATTTATCTTAAAACTGTGACAAACCTTTAAGCTCAATAGCAAAAAGTAAACCTCTTGCTTTGTCTTTAAATAACAAATCACACATCTAAAATGGAAATCTCTTGTGTTAGATGTTATGGGAGAAAACAATATCTGTGCTTCGGAATACATGGATTTCTCAGCCGTTCCTGACAGAAGGTTTTGCATAAGAAAATTTAATTGCTAGATTTAATCATGCCATAAACTCTCAGAGACTTGTTCATAAATACAGTGCTATTTTCAGAACCATATCATCTATATCTTTTCATAATTCCATGAATCAGCATATACCTGCCACCCCGAATGGATGTGTAAAGGTTACTCCTTTCTCACAGATTCATCTCTCACCTGTCTTCTTTTCCTGGACGAAGTGGAAGCAGTTACAGGAATCAGAGCTGTAGAAAAATTAGAGCTGTATAAATATTGCTTAATATGGAGATTGTAAAAAGAGCAAAAAAAGGTTAGATAGCCAATTCCCAGTACCATTTCAAGCACTGGGTGTGTAAATCAGCATTTACACTTCTGATAAAATGTTTTATTTTATTTTTAATTTTAGTCCATAAATTGAAACTAACCTTCCACCACTGCAGCTTTCTATAACCTTTCAATTACCTAATGAGGGTGAAAAGGTTGTTGCTAGATAGGAAGAAAACTCTGGCAACAGAAAGAGGGCTTTATTCTTCACTCTTCATGCAACTGTTATCTCAGAGGAATCCCATAGAAGTCTTACCAGAAGATCTAGCAAGCAGACAATGATATTGCTCAGGAAGAAGTAATACTAATAATAATTAATTAAGATAATAATGAGACCAACCCAATAACGAAGGAGTAATTTAATTTTTACACGGTACTTAATTCAACTGTGGAACATGTGGGTGCAAAGAGTTCCAAAAGGGACTGAGCAAACTCAGGGAGAAAGTCTCCAAGAGCTATAAAGCACAACCTACATGTAGTGTTCCTCTGGCAAAAGCAGTGCACTGAGAGACATGGAGAACAAGGGAGATGTCCATTTTTTATTCATAGTTGTTTCTGAATCCAGCTGCTTGGATTATTCAAACAGATTGCACCCAGGTGAAACAAAATGCAGTATGGAGTAAACTGTGCACAAAATGAAGCAGTGGGCAGTCATACATCGCCTCTGGAATAATACCTTTGAGGTAGCAAGATGACTGACGTTGGGCGAGGTAGATTTGTACAGCTAGTTCAGTTACAACCAGAGGCCTAAGATCAAAGATTCATAATCAAAGATATGAAGTCAAAGATCCCTTCCTCTTTCCACATTCCTCTCTCAAAGTTTATTTATCTCATAAGTAGACATTCTTTGAATTAGATCCTTGAAAAGAACAATACCATTTTTGTTTCCCTCAAATCACATCAATACTGGTTGCAACTACTCACAGTCAGCTGAGTGCACTGCATAATTTATTGTGTAAAAGCAGATTTTCTTGTTGTTTCTGTGGTGCTGAGATTATCTTGCGTTAGAGGCAGGAATCTCTCCCGCTCCATTGCTTTTTCTTTTTGGACTATATAAGCCATGTTTCAAATTTACTGGAATTAAGTCCCAGCTGCTGAATATCAACCTTTGATCACAGAGGCTGGCACAAGTAAGTTTCTTGTTACGCTGTTGTTTTCTTTCTTCGTTAAAGAATCTGCTTGGGAGATTGTTAGTAAAACCTCCTTTTGCTGAGTTGTTATTTCCCAATTCACCTGCTCACTCCAGCTAAAGAAAAGCGTCAGCGTGCTCTATAACATTTCTTCAGCTTCCTGCCCTTCAGAATTACATGCTCTGGGACTTTAGAGAGCCACGCGGAGAAGAGCACGTTGCAGAAGCTCCTCCTCACTGCCTGTTCCTCTCCAATTGTACTTGGCATTTACATGCTTTGGGAGCAGGCATCTTGCTGATGCCAGGAACAGACAGATGAGGTCAGTGAGGATAGATGCTGTTCAGTGCTTCCTACAACAACCAAAAGGCACCTACTGGCAATTGCAGAAGACTGGTCCATCAGAATCCAAATTCTGGCAGAGACACATTGCTGGTGAGTCAGTCCTCTAGAGCAGCTTGAAGGGGTCTTTGTTATCTGTATCCTTCTCCCCATAAGCAAAACACGGTAAAGATCTTGCTGCAGGACAGAGAAGCCAGGTCACTCACAAGCAGCAGTAGTATAATTTATTATTTATCGAGTGCTAGCATCACAACGACATGCAGCAGTAGAGATGAGACTAGAAACATTCAGGCATTATTAAACCTCATATTCTTTATGTGATTGGGTGAAGCTGAAGTCTGGCTTTGTCTCATTTTTTCTTTCTCTAATATATTTCTTTGGTCTAAAGTATTTCAAGTGATCAGAAGAGATTTTCCTTTTTTTTTTTTTTCTTTCTAGGTTTTCTAGTAAAATGTGAAATTAGATGAATAATTTTGAGTACTTTTGTCCTGTTCAGTAATTCTCATTGCAAAAATGCTGTGATCTGTGAATCTCAATTCAGCAAAGCCAGAAGGAAAATTAATCCCTAGTGTGTTAATTGTCTCTGATCCCATTGAACCACTGGTCTTACTGCTGGGACTGCCTATTGGCTTGCCAGTTAGTGCCTGTTGGACAGCAGGATCTTTCACATAAACATCTGTTTAGGGGAATTTGATGGAGGCTATCTCTTTCCATGGCTACTGAATAATGATGCAGGAAGGACAAATTCTCCGAAGCGCAGGCACCCAGAGCTGCAGACAGGCACTCAGTGCATTGTCAAGAGCATTCAGGGTATTTTTAAGTATCACTGTGAACCTGTAGGACATGATATCAATATATTGGAATCAAAGGAATTATACTAAGAACTTTCTGAGTTTTAGGTGTTAAACATCTTGAAAAATTTGGTCCCAGGTTATTGGGGGGGGGAGGGAAGAGATTTCAAGTTTGTAGATGTAGAAGATGCATTGGTTTCAAAATAAATATCCTACAGACCTCTGAACTCTTCTTCACTGTGCTGTCTTGCTCACATCCAAAGTAATCAGTGCAGAGCTAATGACATTGCATTTCTTTCTATGGCAACAGCTGCTTCTGAGGAAAATATAAGAAGCACAGAATAAATTCAATAAGTTCCCATGGATGACCACTCATGTCATGTCACGTAAATGAGCCTGGAAACAGAGTAGGATGTCTTTACGGAAGAATATAGAAGGCATGAAGAGCTTTGTTGCCAATTACAAATAGATATTGGAATACTGAAAGGAACATAAGATGAAATCTGGTCTAGGCAATTACTTCCACATACCTTTATTGGTGTGATAGTAACAATTCATGACTACCTATACAAAAAGGTATGTTACAGCTGCTTCCAAATATGATCCAAGCTTTTACAGTGCTTTTATTCACTGCCTCCTTTTTCAGCATCAACCACTGAAAAAGCTCTCAAACAATACGAAGATTCTTTAAAAAAATCTGTGCTGGGATAACTGCTCAGACTGTTTCCTCACTGAAGCAAGAAGTGTGTTTTCAAGTGAGCTACAAGGGAAAAACACAGCCATAGGATCTCCTGGAGGCCAGAGTCACAGCTGAAAATGGGGTGCTTCAGGCCATAATTAGGGATTCCATTTTAAAGATGCTCCTTTCCCAGCACATTTCTATCAGAGACTCCCAGTAAGATGGTGTTTCCTACAGCAGTGGAGCTTTCTCTCCACTTGCCTGGCTTAATAGCAAAACAGAGATTTCCACAGTCCTTAAAGGTGTTTTCACTTCTATCCTTATCAACCACAAAGTCAGCAAAGCCCTAAGTGGGTAGGTTAGCTCTACAGCAAAAGGCTAAGCTCATCTTTTTAACCCATATAGCTTCATGGTTTGTTTTGATGTCAGAATTTGGAACTTGTTTGCATGAGATGTGTGTAGCTGGGAGTGGAAACAGCTTCGTTTCCTGATATGGTTTAGAATGAGCTCTGAAACCACTCTATATAAAAACTCAGGTGAGCTTCATCCACTTGTAAAGAGCCAGCACAAGGAAATACAGCTATAGGAAAACATAATTGCACAAAAGCTTTATGGAAATATGGTTATGTCACAAAAACACGTCTTCTGAATATAATGCAAATGGATTTAAAGATTGCCCTTTGCACCTTTGAGATCATCCTATACTGTTTTCAGTCTCCAAGAAAAGTTCTCCCATGCCAAGGGAGAAATGGGTTTCCTGGTAAAGTGCCATGCCACTCATGAGGCACGTAGCATATCTGTGACTCCAGAAATGTGAAGTCACAAGAAAATTCCTTCCCTTTGTATTGCAAAAGAAAACAAAATCAGATTCACTATGGGTACTGTTGCTGTAAACTTAAAAAGAGAGATTTTATTTCTCTATAGTAAACAGGGCTATAAATCTCTGGGCTATTAATACTGCTAAATTCTCTTGTTCTATCCAGCAAGTTGCATGATGCCCTTTATTTAGTATTTTAAAGAGTTCCTTATTCCCATTTCTTCTACAAATGACTAATTGGCCCCTCTGGCAATTAGAAACAGGCTGCTATAACTTTAAAAAAGTGCAAGGAAACTGATAGCAATGATTGTATTTGAAATGTTCTGTTCTGCTTTTAGAAGGATGAATCAGTCAACAACAAGTTTGCAGATGTTTTGTTTAAAAGGTTCTTACAACTTTAATAATCATTGCCTGGGATTTTTAAATTGTTCCTGAGTATTGCAATAAGCTGGAACCATGTTTGCCTCCAAACTTTAATTCTGTCTAATCCCTTTTTCTTTGTTTGATTTTTAAGAGAGAGGATAATGAAGAGTTTAAAGAAAAACAGCACACCGAGAAAACATGTCTTAAGCACTGATGGATGATTTAACAAGATTTTTTATAGCTCATAGACTCAAAGCCAAAGCCTGTCTCTGTTTTATAACCTCAGTATGCTGCAAATTTTGCTTGTAACAGGTAGAAGTGATGACTTTGAAAATCATTATGCCTTAGAAAAACAATCAAAATCTTCATAGTATTTGGTCACAGAAATCTAGCAAGTTAGATAAAATAATTCTCCTTCCCTTCTTCCCCATTCCTCGCTGTCTCTTTTCCAAAGGTCTGCACACTGTTCATACCTTATAGAAATATTGAGTCATCATATATGAGTGCTGTAATTCAATTCAGCAATTTCAAGTATTCTCTGAAAATTGCATTGCACTGTTAAATTTATTGCACGGATTTAAAGTCTTGGGTAATTTGCATTTTTGATAAAGAGTTGAAGGCTTGCTCTTATAAATCCTAGACATTAATACTCAGACCTATCTGAGCCCTCTGTGAAAGTGAAGGAGATAAATTGTGAGGGCAAGAGAGGGAGAACATGATAAATGAAATGGCAGGAAGAAAGAAGTAGAAGAACCACAGGAGGGAGAACTGAGGGAAAACAGAAAACAAATAATCATAAAAAGGCAGAACCTACTGATAATCTAAGAGCTGATTAGGTCCACAGTGCATTAGGGCTGAGAGCAGGCATCTGTTCGTGGGCATGGCGGAGCCTGAGTGACAGGGCTGATGGCAGGGCCTCGTAGTGCAGCTGTCTTCTCCCATGGGAGAGGGTCTGGCTTCTTCAGAGCCTTGCTGGCTGGTGAGTGGGAGGAAGCTCCTCTCCACGAGTCTGGAACAGGCACCTTCGTGTTGTCTGTGTGACAGTGGTGATTCCTTTGTGCTCCAGTGTGTGTGACTGCTTCTCCATCATCAAGGCGGGGAGGAGGGCCTCACGCCATTTTTCTTCCTTCTTAACATTCCCTATCAATCATCTGTGGAGTAAAAGAGTAATTTCAACCTGTTTGATTTGTGGACAACTTAATAATTTCCCAGAGAAAGAGGATACCCCTTTCAGGGATTCTGTGTGAGCAAATGGTAGACTGCCATTTCTCAGCTCCTCTCCAAGACCCCTAGAAGTAGTCTCTGGACCTCCGAAGGGTTTGTGGAACAGAAGTGGTAAAGCCCAGAAGTTTTGGAGGTGAAGATATGTTATACCCACATACCCAACACAAAGGGGCTCAAATATCTGATTGCAAGGAGTAGTCATTGTTCAGCGTGTAGATAATCATTATTAAAGCAAGCAGGAGAAAGGCACTGAAAACAGAAAAGAAGGAAAGAGGAATAAACCCTTCTAACAAAAAGCAAGGGTTGAAATGTTGCTTTTTAAATAGCGAGTCTGTGAATTTCTTTATGCTCCCAGCCCAATTAACAGTGATAGCTGCCAGCTGAATTGGCAGCAGAAGAAATAAACTCTGCTCAGTAACATGGTAAAAGAGGAATTCCTCCGTCTCTTCGTGGTGTTTTAGTTGCTATGGGAGAAGATGCACAATGTGAGATTCAAGGTGCCTCTCTCAGGAAGGTGATGCTGGTTCACTGTGCTTTTCCCAGGCTTCCTGGTAGGCTGCTTTTCCATCACTTGACCCTAAGGTTTGGCCACAGAGGTTTCCAGTGGGCTGCCTGGCTAATCACCCAGCTGCTCTGCTCCCCTGAGACATCCACGGGGAAGTATACAGGGACCAGATTATTTTCTGGTGCTGATCTGAATTCTGATCAGATCCCTCAAAACAACAACAAAAATACATTGCTAATCTATATTCAGGACCAACTGTATGAGCAGATAAATCTCTGAGCACTCTCAGGAATCTGATGTTGTAAAGTCCCACGTCCAAACTGGTAGTTAATAATGTCACACAACAATAATGAAAAGGGGTGGGAGTAGGGGGGAGGTGTCAATATTTACAGAATTTAATTAGATGACAACAAAAAAGTATAGCTGGCCTATTTTCCCTTTCCCCCTTTGGGTATTTTACCAAAAGGGAAAAAAAAAAAAAAATCAGTCATCTGCAAAGGTACAGGTTTAAGATTTCAATTCAACTTTTATTCTGAATATTTATTCTGAATAATAGAGGTAAAACTTTGAAATAACTGAAATTCTGAAATTCCATTCAAAACTATTACCGAGTCTTAGCTCGGCAGGGTCAGACCAAAGTCACACTCTATCTGCACTATTTGTTATATCCTTCCTTTGCCACTGGTTACTGTCACAGCAAGGATTCTGGACTGTGTGGACCTTCAAGTCCAACAGAGGGGCTTTTTTGTTATGTTCATGAGATTCATTTTCTCCGCTTGTTGTGTCCTGGAAAATACTACTGCTTGCTTTAAACTAACGTAGCCATTGATCCCAGGAAATATAAGTACATATTGTTCTGGATTCTGGAAACTCCTGCACTCTTCATGAAGCACATACAAAGAACAAGCATGGAAAGGCAAAGCCTGCCAGACTACACCATGTGCCCACTCATGATAACCTGACCAACAGGATACTAAGTAGGATTAATGTTTTTTCCTCTCCAGCAGAATTCTTCCAAACTGAAGAGACAGCACTCAGTAATTACAGGTTAGAGCGCATTAGCTGCTGTGGTGAGGACTGCAGTCACGCAGCACTTCATAGCAGATTATTTACTCAGAATCTCAACTGTTTGCAGAAAGCATTATACTACAACACTTTACACCAGCCTGAATCTGTCCTTTAACCTCTTAACTCAGTGCAAAAACATCATCCGTAAATGCCGCATACATTTGTTAAATATACTGTTTGACTGGTCATTGAGCATGTACCTGGGTCTGTAGCAGCTCTGCAAACAGATCATCATGCATGTTTGCACTCTGGGCTCCAGTTCCACTAGCTCTGATTGGAAAAATTGGTCCCCTGGTTTTTGAGCGTCTTTCCATTGGAGTGTTCAATCACTGAATCATAGAATCATAGAATCATAGAATATCCTGAGTTGGAAGGGACCCTTAAGGATCATCAAGTCCAACTCTTGACACCGCACAGGTCTACCCAAGTTCAGACCATGTGACTAAGTGCACAGTCCAATCTCTTCTTAAATTCAGTCAGGCTCGGTGCAGTGACCACTTCCCTGGGGAGCCTGTTCCAGTGTGCAACCACTCTCTCTGTGAAGAACCCCTTCCTGATGTCCAGCCTAAACTTCCCCTGCCTCAGCTTAACTCCATTCCCGCGGGTCCTGTCGCTGGTGTTAATGGAGAAAAGGTCTCCTGCCTCTCGACACCCCCTTACGAGGAAGTTGTAGACTGCGATGAGGTCTCCCCTCAGCCTCCTCTTCTCTAGGCTGAACAGGCCCAGTGCCCTCAGCCGTTCCTCGTACGTCTTCCCCTCCAGGCCTTTCACCATCTTCGTAGCCCTCCTCTGGACACTCTCCAACAGTTTCATGTCCTTTTTATACTGTGGTGCCCAGAACTGCACACAGTACTCGAGGTGAGGCCGCACCAGCGCAGAGTAGAGCGGGACAATCACCTCCCTCGACCTGCTAGCGATGCCTGAAAATGAACTGAAATCATGGTAACGAGGATAAGAAACTGATATAAATTAGAGAATTAGAGGAGGATCCCATGAGTGGGAAGTTCATTTCTTCTCCCTGGTTTGACTTGCTGGATTACTCATCGAAAATCTTTTTTTTTTTTTTTTTTATTTCATAAGTAATACAAAGCCTATAAATATACAAGCTTAACTCCACAGTAGGGCATCTTGTGCAAAAGCAAATAAATAAATCTAAACACCACGTTGGCATTTTTGTTTAATGCCATCATAGCTGCTGGTAAGTGGTGTGGTCTGGACATGTACTTATGTGGACATCAGTTTGGTGTGAACAGTCCCATTGCTATCCTGCCAAATGAAGCCATCAAACAGATGAAGAAAACAACCCACTTCAGTGCTCATCCATTTGCAGCCCTGTTCAAGCACACTCCATAGGCTAAGCTCCAGTGCTCAACTGTGCAGCCATTCCCTGGCAAATATTATGTCAAGCAAAGGTTATGTGAATAACCTTTATCCACTTGCTTGAATAAGTTTTGCTAACTGGGTGAGAAATAACTGACAAAGTTGGGTAATTCTGGTGGTTTTACCCTGCTGGGCAGCTAAACTCCACCACAACATCCTCATCATTCCTCCTCATCAAAGGAGAAGGGTGGAGTACATATGATGGAAAGGACTCAAGAGTTGAGATGGGGACAGGGAGGCTGCGGTCAGTCCCTGGCGCTTCATCTCCGCCACTCCCTCAGGGTCCCTCTCTGCCCCTGCTCCCCGTGGGGTCCCTCCCATGGATGCCGTCCTTCCCGAACTGAGCCTGCGGGGGCTGCCCACAGGCTGCAGCTCCTCAGGAACTGCTCCCACTCGGCTCCGTTCCACGGGGTCCATCCATCAGGATTAAGGGCCGCAGAGGAACTTGTGCTGCCTTGTGCCTGGAGCACCTCCTGCCCTCCTGCTGCACTCATCCTGGGGGCTGCAGGGCTGCTGCTCTCTCAGCTCTCTCCCATCTCTCCCAGCTGCTGTAGCACAGCAGATTTCCCCTTCCTTCAATCTGCTCTCTCAGAAGCACACACAGCATAGCTCATGGCTCAGCTCTGGCCAGCAGCGGGTCCCTTTTGGAGCGGTCTGGAGCTGGCTCTGATCTGACATGGGGCAGCTGCTGGGCTCTGCTCACAGAGCTTGCAGTCCCCTGCTGCCAAACCCTTGCCACATAAACCAAATACAGTAACAGGGAGCTGGATCAATCCTGACATCCAATTACTTCACGGAGGTGTTGGCACTGCTCCCTTTCTGCAGTCATCAGCTTTATCACTGGAAAGATTCAGAACCGGTGGAAGTTCTTCACTGGCAGCTCTGATACATGTTGCTTTGCTGATTATTCCCAGCTACCTAGTGTTGTGGATGGTTTCATAACTCCATTGAGAAAACAAACAAATTTATTTTATTTTTATTTTTATTTTTATTTTTATTTTTATTTTTATTTTTATTTTTTTTATTTTTATTTTTATTTTTATTTTTATTTTTTTAGCCTTCATCCTCTAGATACAAAACATGAACATGTGGCACAACTGTTGAGAGGGACTGGAGCACCTCTCCTATGAGGAGAGGCCGGGAGAGCTGGGGCTGCTCAGCCTGGAGAAGAGGAGGCTCAGGGGCATCTCATCCGTGTCCCTAAATCCCTGACAGGAGGGTGCAGAGAGGCTGGAGCCAGGCTCTGCTCAGTGGTGCCCAGTGCCAGGACAGGAGGCCATGGGCACAGCCGGGCACCCAGGAGGCTCCCTCTGAGCACCAGGCAGCACTGCTGTGCTGGGCGGGTGACGGAGCCCTGGCACAGGCTGCCCAGAGAGGCTGTGGGGTCTCCTCCTTGGGGAGCTCCAAAAGCCGCCTGGACGTGGGCCTGGGCAGCCTGCTCTGGGTGTCCCTGCCTGGGTAGGGGTGGTACCAGGTGGCCTCCTGAGGTCCCTTCCTACATCAGTTGTTCTGTGATTCTGTGAACTGCTCTTTGAAAATAATTATCCTTAATGTGTTCAATTAATGAAAACAGCAAAATAGCCTATGTCGTGGTCTTAAAAGACTTTCACTGTGGTGAAAATGGAGAGATTTGGTATGTGTTTCATATGGCAAACCATTACAGCTAGCAAGTGATGTTTCAAATAGTTTTTACATGTGCACGTCCTGACTGAGTCACAGCACCTCAACCCCTTGGCTTCTTTAGTCTGTCATCAGCATTATCACCCCAGCCCAACAGTTCTCAAATAACACTCCTGTTGCATGTAATTTGCCTGACCTGCTTGACATAAGTTTTCATGTAAGTGGCTTTATCTCAGCATACCTCTGGGTGCTGTAGAAGCCACCATGCAGTGTAAGTAGACTAAACACAGAGAAGAAATAACTTACAGTGCACTAACCCTCTTCCTGTCCTTTGGTCTGGTGACTTCCCGAGGTTGGCCTGTTCCTGCAAATCACAAAGCAGGCCTTGTAAACAATTATATTACTCTGGCTAAAGCAGGGGGAGTTGCTTTTGGTGCTAGTGCACGGGTCTAGTGTGGGCATAATGCTAGAACAGGTGATACGGAGCTCCAGGAGACAGTTCTTTGTCTTCCCGATGATCAGAATGCAATAGTTCCTTGTGGGAAATAATGCCTTCTGCAGTTAATCTGGATCTTTACCTTAAAGAAAACCAAAATTGAATTTCAATGCTATTCTTTCTATTTTTAACGTTTTATGTATTTGAGGCAGCTGTTTTTAAGGGTTATACTGAAATATCAGAAAATGATATATTTTTCTGCATGTATTTCTTGTTCCTTTCAGTGCCACA